TAAAAATTTATACAAGTACATGTAAAGACGGACAATTGAAAAAAATGTTCGATACCTTAACAAAATAGAGGGCAACAAATCCCTAAAACTCTCACAAATAGAAAAGACAAAAAGGGAATATTGTTTCAGGGGAAAAATACGAGGAACTGAAAGAGTAAAATTAAGAGCTGAATGAGTACCACTACTCACAGTTACTAAATGAAGTTGAACACAGGGCATTGCATAGTATTGATATATATGTTCTCGAATACATCTCAGTCAAAATTTGCCTTTTTTTTGATTTTTTTAAACATGAAAAAGGTAATCAATCTGATAAATTTTGTAAACAATACAAATCGTTAAAAAAAGGTTATAGGGTAGAATCTTTTTTTTTTCAATGAAGTTGACAGAAATCAGTTCTTCCGTATTGAAAAGTTTAAATATGAATGTGATTCCGACATTTGATCTTCTATTGAGGACTTTCCCTACCTCTAGGGACATTCTTGGAACACATTTGAAACTACTCTACTTGAAATGCTTTTAAATAAATAAGACTTGCTTTGATGTTCTTGAGAAGAAAATTTGATATATCCTTTATATGTATTTTTATAACTTTGATTCCTTGTTGTGGCCCCGCCCAACCCCAAGGGTTCATGATTAGAAGAAACCTAAATCTACACTACCTGAGGATACTTCCATATTAATATGACTAATCATGGCTTTGCTGTTCTGGAAAAGATTTTTTTCCCTATATATTCCTATGTAAAAATTTGATCCCCCATTGTGGCCCCACCCTACCCCCGGGGACCATGATTTGAACAAACCTAAATCTACACTACCTAAATATGACAACACAAGTCTTTGCTGTCCTTGAGAAGAAGATTTTTAAAGATTTTTTCCTATGTATTCCTCTGTAAAAATTTGATTCCCCATTGTGACCCCAACTTACCCCCGTGGGTCATGATTTGAATAAATTTGAATCTACATTATATATGTAAAGAAGTTTCACGTAAGTTTCAACTCTTTTGACCCAGTTGTTCTTTAGAAGAAGATTTTTAAAAGATATCACCAAATTTTCACTATTTCTTAATTATCTACTCTAAGAGGGAGTGGCCATTCATTTGAATAAACTTAAATTCAAATGATTCATTAGAAATTTTCAAAGTCTAAAGGCCATAACTTTCTAAAAATGGGTCAATCACCACGAAACTCAAGCTTAATCTGTGCATGTAAATCATCAATATTTAGATAAATACCAAAAATCAAGTCATTATCTACATTTAGTGGCCTAGAGCAAAACCGGAAATTGACAGTAATAGAATGATGGACGGAAAGGGGTAACACTATATGCCCCAGTCATTTCATGGAGGGAATATAAAAAGTGCAATATCCACTACGATAACAATCCTTTAAGTACCTTTTATGGCTATTGTTATTATTGAGCTGCCGTATAGCTGATCTTACCGCAAAAATATTATACAATCAAAGTATGTTGATCTTTTACATGTTTACACTTTACTTCGAGTCGCCCGCGTGGCGCAGTGGTTAGAACACTTGCTCTAGAATCTCGGAGGAAGGAGTTGATCCTTACGTCGCGGGTTCGAATCCCACTGCGAGACGGGGAGACCGGTCCTTCGAATGAGATTGTATAAACCGAGGTCCCGCGTTGAGTAGCTTATAGGTGCAGGCACGAAAAAGTTCCCTCAGTACTCAATGGTACTGAGTGCCTAGTATAGGTCTAAATTTGAAACCCTCCACCGCCAAGTGGTGTCGTCTCCATATGAGTGAAAAATTCTTGAGAGGGACGCTAAACAGCAAACAAACAAACAAACATTTAATATCGAATATGTGGTTCAGGTCAATCTACAAAGCTATATTAAATTGACTGCGAAAAAAGCAATCGAAAATAATTTGTTTTTTTTTAGAAGATACACAGATTAGAACCCAAGACAGATGACCGGTCTTAATAAGCTAAAAGTGTTTTGCATTATATTTGTGCGTTTGAAATTTTTTGTTACTTTGTTGACAGAAAATTATGCAATGAACATACTGAAAGGAAGTCTGAGCCACGTGGATGTTTTGCAAAGAACATCAGTACTGTAAGGATAAGGATACCAAGCAGTATCTCTTATGTATTTCAGTGTTTAAATGGCAACAGAGTTTTTACAATACGTGCGAACACCTGTGTCTTCAGTCCTTGGCCAGGGAATCTACACTACATTTGTATTCACCGAAAGTACAAGAAAGGAATACAGACGTTAAACGCCTTAGAGAATGGCTTTGAGAAACCAAGAATATTCTATTTATTTATCAATAATTTGATTCTAGTTATACGCGGTATTTGATTGGATAGAAAATTACATTATATCGTATAAATTGGGTTGCCTACGTCACAATGACTTGCGTCAAAAACGTTTAAATTTTGTACAATTTGAAGTCATTTTTTAAGGGCAATCATCTTTTTTTCTAACACTAAATGAATTAAAATTAAATTATAAGGAATGGAATTAATAACTTCCCAATTTATACGTTAAAAAGTGGGTTGGAACAGTTTACGCTTAAGAAGCGTTGGGTATAGCTATTAAATTCATTCCTTAAATAATTAGTATGTCTGTTTGACGTTCATTTGAGAATTTTTCACTCATATTGAGACGCACCACTCGCCGGTAGACGGCTCCAAATATAGAACTGTACTCGGCAATTATGGCCTTTGAGCAGTGAGTTAGCACCTACTGTGACAGAAACAAGTGCCTGTAGTGCAGGTACAGCGTCTTGGACCGCTCGACCATCTAGGTACTTTTAAGTTAAAAACTTGCTTTCGATGGCGAGGGAATTCTAGCGGCGCAACTATGCACCACATGAAGACTGAGAATGGAAGACTTAAGTGAAATACAGTTATTGAAAAATAAGTTTTATTAAAGGATAGCAATACAGTATACAAGGAAACACGACCCGGGGCTGAATTCTTGACTGCTTAACTTGACTTCTAAAAGGGTAGGAACAGCGTGCTTGATTACAAGTAAAAAACTTCCTATCGATGATATGGATTTCTTCATATATAAATTGATTTTTTCCCAAAACAACAAGTACATTTGTTTGTTTGATTAATTGGCCATTGTTTTGTGGTTTAAAACCAAAACACCATTACAATTTCCCCCTAAAAGATAAATTTTCTCTACTTTTTGCACACAACAGTTTATGATACCTTCTCCAGCCAGATAAATTCAAGTCCTAAACATATAATTTAAATAAATTTCTTAATCTTAATATAGGCATACTATCTGCTCGAAGAAATAAGGGCATTCAAGGTTTCTGAGCATTTATAAAAGTCAATTTCGCAAAAGATTATGCAAGATTTCCCACTTTTCCTATCCTATTTTGCTATACGGAATACTTTTTATTTTATCAATTTGTACCTCATCATTTATGAAATATTAGGTAGCGGAACTGTATTATGTAATATGACGAATAGTTAACAAAAACAACCTAACAAAATTTATTGAAATATATGTGCTGTACCAGATTTACATGCATCATCATGTCAAACCTTTTCTCCTTTCACTCGGAGTAACAAGAACCTCAATATTAATTTGTTGCATTCATTTCCCAAAGTTTTCCTAAAAGATAGAATTTTACTGATAAAAATATAAAAGACGAATAAAACGGAATTTCAAAAACAAATCTTTGAACTCTTAAAGGTGCTTAGACACAGATTTAACTTAATATTTTCTCAAATTTTCTGTATAATATCACGACTTATATATTGCTATAGCATTTCACAGGAAAATATAATTAAAAACTTATTTTATCTGGAAATTATTGGAACTACGAATTCCGGGACGCGTTTGATTAACACATCTTTGCACTTACACAAATTTGAACTTTATCCTTAATATTTAAGAAAAGAAGCGATTTTGTTAAGTATTAATGAAAAATATTACATCTATAATCCAGAAAATTCAGAGTAAAAATGTTCGAAAGCAAAACCAGCTCACCAGTATTGTCAGTCCGTGCTTTGTAGTGTGTATAGAGTTTAACATATTGAATACACCCGTGAAGCGTGAACTGTTTTTGTAAACAGGGCACGAGCTCTGTTATTGTTAATGTTTACGATTCACCGGGTGTGTTCAATTGTTAACTCTGCACACACCACTGAGCACGGACTTACAATACTGTGAGTGGGTTTTCCTTTCGAACATTTCTTCTCTGAATTTTCTGGGTTATAGTTTTAATATTTTTCATTAATACACAACAAAATTGCCACTTTTCTTAAGTATTAAGAATAAAATTAAAATATGTGAAAGCGCAAGGATGTGTCAATCCAACGCGTCCAGAAATTCGAAGTTTTAATAACTTCGAGATGAAATAAAATTTGTATTAAATGTATGAAATGCTATAGCAACATACAAATCATGAAATTATACAAAAAATTTGAGAAAATATTAACTTCAAATCTGTGTCCAAGCAATTTTAATGAAGTCGTTAATTTTTTACAATTCCTCAAAATGTAGAAAGACGATGTTCTAAAAATAATGATGTGAGTAAAACTTTGATAGCATTGTAAACTTAATCATGAATTATTTACACTTGATAAATAACATTAAAGAATTTTGTAGAGAGAGTCTGTCAGTAAAAAAGATGCTCGCCTACGGAGAAAAGCAGTTTGCCATTCTTCTAGATTTACTGATGACGTGTTTTTTGCCTTAAACGGAAATGTCTCGCGCTGGTTTTGATTTGTCGATTGCAGACGACAATACCACGTGATACACGAATTTTCATTAATCATGAAAATACCCACAAGATATCAAATTCTCTGAAGAAAAACAATTGTATTCATAAATTACAACGTGTCTTTATATTTCATTCTTTTTCTTTGTGATATCAGTTTCGCAAACTCTTATAAAACCTATACAAAGTCGTCAATGATTTGATAAATTCAAATTTTCACACCCTTTTGAAAGTATAAAATGCATGAAAGGAATAGTCTAGACTGATTTGACTTCAGGAGAGAGGGGACAACACATCTGAAATGACAGGAAAAATAACAGTCGTGAGTAGTTTTTGAGACTGAATTTTAAGCAACCAATATTCAATATAAATATAATATCAAGTCAAGTTCTTCTCTTAGGTTGTTGAATTTTTTATATCTGATAAATGATTTAATATATTTTTTTTTAAATTTACCCAAGAAAAAATAACTTACATCCTAATTTTCTGTTAAAAATTGAGCAGCATCAAGAACGATGATCCTGTAGTTTACCTGAAGTGAAAAGTGGATTTCATTTTTTTAGCGTAAAGAACAAACCTCCCAGTTCGTACAATATGTGGAATCTGTAAGGGTGAATTATCTTTACCAGTAATAATTTAACAACATCTAATTCCACTTTAAAGATCTATTACAAATGTTCTCTTTCATGAACATTTACACTGTTCTCTTTGTTCTTCATCTAGAAAAGTATCTTTTGGACTTGCATAGTATTTTGCACCAGTAACTTTCTAATAATAATGATGATGTAGAATTGATAATGTTATCTCTTTCAATTTGCTGCTATCATAAAAAGATGAAATCTTCAATCCAAGCTCACGGAGTACTAAGTATTAATGTTCAGTGCCCACCGACTTCATTAACTTGAGGAAACTTTCATGCTTGGCAGTAAAAGAGTCTTTAACATATTAATTAAAATTTCTTAGATGATCTTTCATATCACAATTGGGGTATATTTGAGATATGATTGACATAGGAATGTCTGATATAGATTTGCGTTTCAATGAGAATTTTTTCCAAGCCTGCAAGTAGATGGAGTGCTTAACACGCTTTAACCTGATGACATTGCAGCATCGGTGATATGGCATGGTACCTGTATTACTTAGATTTTTATTCAAATATTCACGGCAGTCTATGTACTATTTGGAGAAAGATGTCAAGTCGAATGTGTCGTATGATATTCTTTTCTTAGTTTAAGAAAAGAACAAAGTGGCATTTTTTTCAGCAAGAAATATAATACATTATAAGGAGGGGAATGAGCGGTGCAATAGTATATTTTGTAGGGTGTGAAAATAAACACATGGAATACATTTGTCACAGACATAGGAATTTCTCAATCTTCTTAAAATCACACACTAAATAAGATGCATAATGGTCAACAGACGCTTTCCATTTACATGCATTGCGATTTATCTCGTTAAATGAGTTCTTACAAGTTAATGTTCATGATATATCCTATATATATGTAGTGAAGTTCAATTGTTACTGACAATTACTTGAAGTAATAACAGTTTCGACATTGTTCATTATTCTTAGTTGCAAAGTATACGAATTATAAAGCCACTATCCCCCCCCAAAAAAAAAAAAAAAAAATGGAGAAAAAAAAATAACAAGCATTTGCAGGAAGGAAATCTTTGTATATCATAAAAAAAGAATATTATTGCTATCAGTCTGCCTGAAATGACTGTGTTGAGAACAGCTGAAAGAAGCAGAAACATTATGTATAGTTTTTTTCCATTATACAGGAGTAAAAATATTGTACTAGATGCTCTTGGCAAAAAGTATCCCACGCCGCTACGCCTCGGTTTCTTATACATCTCAGACTCTTACATCAGAAGGCCTTTTTTTAATAAGCTATTTCCATCTGCGATATCAAAATTGTAAATAAGTAATGATCATGTACTTAAATATTTGCATAAGGTAACACAGTTAACAAAATTCCAAAAGTGTTCATTAATCAAAATCGTCATCATTTAAACTTTTAACGATAACTTGTTTTGACATCACAAAGTTTCAGTGATATTTCGTTCCATCGATATTTACAGTCATCCCTAACGTAAAATGACCTCAATGCTTTGTTCGCGACAATTAGAGAATAACGTTGTTTTAAGGGTGGTTTTATTGTAAATAATGAATATTTAATTGTTGCGTGCCATTTTTAAATCAGTGAACACTCCATTCCCACTTTGGTATTTTTAACGGCCAATACTTTTACAATGGATTCTAGGGGTAACATGTTGCCAAATCACATGTTCTCGCCGTGAACTTCTAGCATGCTGGAGCATTGCAGATTGTTTCCTTAGATTGTAAATTCATCTCCTCTGAACAATGCTAAAAGTTGACCGATGATTACATGTACATGCAAAAGTGGATATTGCAAAAGAGAGACAGACCTACCTTCAAAAAATGACCGAAAAAGTGTATCTGTATATGTATAAAGGACAACTTTTATTGAAGTCAGTTGAAAACTGATTGGGAATATTGCAAAAGGCACGATTGAAATTGATGATTTCTTCATGAGGTGCAACAGTGATCTGTTTAATACAAAATGGAATGGATGGACTTCAACGACTGGTGTTGGTCACCTTTGGTTTGATGGAATATTGGAACTATTGAATACATGTTCCATCATACCCGAGGAGATCAGCATTAGTTGATACAGCAACTGACGTGTTGTTCTACAAGAGGAGACATGAAGTCGTATAGCATGACATGAAGACGTGTAGCATGACATTAGAGCAGCTGACGTGTTGCTCTACCAGAGGAAACGTGTAGCATGACTTATTTGAGCAACTGACATGTTGTCCTACCAGAGGAGACGTGTATCATGACTTATTAGAACAACTGACATGTTGTCTTACCAGAGGAAACGTGTAGCATTTGCTCATGCAGCAGTCTTTATACAAAAGATGTACAACAGTTTTTACAGCAATTGTCATCTTTAATTAGTCAATTATATGATCAATTTCATGTATTCAACTTGTGTGACATCGAACCTCAAGAAACATGCCTAAGTTTATACAACAACTGGCAAGATATTTAGCAGTGGAGACTTCAGTAGTTGAACGCAGCTCACAAGTTATATTAATAGATGTACATTAGTCAATAGAGCAACTGATGAATCATGTTACCACAAGAGGCGTGCATTAATCTAGGCATAAACGTTTTATGGTCGTATTGACTACAAAAGAGTATTATTCTTGCTGGTGACATAAATACTTATCTGAAAAGGGTGAATAACACATTATTTATAGGCTCATTCTAAGGAAACAAGGTAGGAGAAAAATGGAGAAATGTAAATTGAAATGGGTTTACTTGATTAATACATTGGGCTCACGATAGGTGTTTCGACAGTGATACTTATTTCTCCTAGACACCTGATTTCACTTCTGGTCTTTTCAGGCTTTGTGTGTTTGCCCTGTTGTGATACGTATTGTTTACAGGCTTTGTGTTTTTGTCCTGTTGTGATACGTATTGTTTACAGGCTTTGTGTTTTTGTCCTGCTGTGATACGTATTGTTTACAGGCTTTGTGTTTTTGTCCTGTTGTGATACGTATTGTTTACAGGCTTTGTGTTTTTGCCCTGCTGTGATACGTATTGTTTACAGGCTTTGTGTTTTTGTCCTGCTGTGATACGTATTGTTTACAGGCTTTCTGTTTTTGCCCTGCTGTGATACGTATTGTTTACAGGCTTTGTGTTTTTGTCCTGTTGTGATACGTATTGTTAACAGGCTTTGTGTTTTTGCCCTGCTGTGATACGTATTGTTTACAGGTTTTGTGTTTTTGCCCTGCTGTGATACGTATTGTTTACAGGATTCTGAGATTAGGCACTGTTTATGATCTTCACCTTTTTCATTTAAAGATAACAAACCGTAATCAAGTTCAAATACAAAATTAAACAATGCATTTTTAAAGCAGGAAAAAAATCATGAACTTCTGGAAACTCCAGAGATGGGATCAGTAAGCATCCCCCGGTGAACAGTCACACCAGATGTGATCCCTTTGTCTTGATCGGTTAAACAGAAAACCTTTAGAGAAATCAGTTCTATGACAATAATGACCTAACAACCTGTATTAAAAAAGTCAACATTCAACCTAATGACAGATTGTATTTGCAAAGAAGACCATTGAAACGACGGAAAAAATGAGGGAAAATTGACTACATAGAATTTTATCAAAAAGTTTAGCAATTACTTTTCCATCAATATGTAAAAGTGAAATAAATGGACGAACAGAATTCAAGCTCATAAGTCCATTAAACAATACAAAATAGGAGCAGAGCAAACACGGTCCTCCAAAACATGAGAGGTGGGATAAGGTGCCACTGAAGGAGTGAGCATCCCCTGCCGACCGGTCACAACCGCCGTGTGCTCCTTGTCATGATCGGGAAATAACGGAAAAATCCGTCGACAATTCAGTGTGTAAATAATGGCCTAACAATTAGTATGAAAAACCTCAGTCAGCATAAAGATAACGAACAGTGATCGATCTAAAAATCCACAAACAAAACAAATATGTGAAAAGGGCATAAAACACGGACCCCTGAAAATTCCAGAGGTGGGATCAGGTGCCAGGAGGAGGAAGCATCCCCTGTTGACCGGTCACATCCGCCGTGAGCATTGATTTATCTCTCTCTTGTAAAACATCCAAATACAATAAAACTTTGATATCAGACTCATTGGTGTCTTGTTTTAAGTTCATTGGGGCACATTGATTAAAAGTATGAATGAAAATGATTGTTGATTAAACGTAGTCAATGTACTCTAAATATCCAGTTGAAAGCCACGGTAAAAACGTCTTTTTATTTAGACGTTTTGAGTAAATTCTGCTTCATAAGAATACCAAAACAAAAATTTAAAAAAACCCAAAAACCAAACACAAAAAAAACTGAAATAATTAGAACTATACGGAAATTCCAACATGTTTTCACAATGAATTGTGTATGGATTTTCCGTTTACTCAATCATGACAAAGGATGCAGACTCCACCATGGCACCCGATCCCACCTTTATGTTCAGAGGTCCATGTTGGTTCTGCTCGTAATTTGTATGTTTAATTGGCATTTTACAATGTCCCACTTTTTCGTTATATTCACATTTCATTCCTATCATTTTTAACGATCAGCTTGCATGAGTTATATTAATGTACAGTTGTTGCGCAAGTGGGGATGGATACATTAAAGACTTAAGAATTACAGGAATTTCAAAATGGCTGCGCCCATTCGACATCTAGTGGTGAAAATAAAATGGGTTTTTTTGGTGATATTAAATTGCAATTGTTAAAAGC